GCCCAGCGTTTCAGCTACACCAGACTCCTCACCTCAGTGCCCCCACTCTGAGCCACTGCTCCCATATCTCTCTGCCCGAGGTGTACTTTTCCTTCCTCTCCACATCTTCTCCAGCACCACCTCCTCCAGGAAGTCCCCTGAGACTGCCTACAGGATCAGAATAACCTGCCGCTCTTCAGGCCCCACGGGGCTAGTTCACCTCTCTCTGGTCGCTTCCCACTCTCTCCTCGACTCCCCTTTCACCAGACTGTGAGCAGGCGTGGCCATTTTTCTCTCCAGGTCCCAAGCTCGTTATCCTGAGCCCAACCCTGGGGCTGGTACACAGGACACCTCAGTGATTATAGCTCCAACTAACAGTGGGGAAGCACCAAGCTCACCCCTGGCCGGAAGGGGGCCTGGGATACAGGCAGAGGAGGCAGGGCCACCCCGGGTTCAAGGGACGCACAGACGACGTGGGCTGGGGGGACAGCTTGAGAGGCACTGAATCAGCTGGGGGTGCAGAATCTACAATGCAGGCAGCAGAGGGGCGGGACGGGCGACCCTGGAGAGGTCCTTCTCTGCTCCAGGCCTCCTCCATGTCCCCAGCCAAGAAGTAAAGCTGATCATTCCAGCCCGGCCCAGTTCCCAGGGACCCTGTGGAGTGATGGGGACAATGATGATGGTGAGGGTCACAGAACACTCTCAATGCCAGCACGTGCTGAGCTCTGACCGCGTGCCAGGAGCCACACTGAGCACTTTGCTGACTTGATCCCAATGAACCGTCATCCTATCGTTGGTGCCACTGCCGGTGTCCCCATTCCAAAGGTGGAGTTCAAGAGCTTGAATAACCTCGCTGGTTGCACGGTGGATGGAAAGCCGTTGGTGTGTGTGGAAAACGTGCCTGGCAGAGGGTCCAGGTCACCTGGAACTTCCACCCAGCATTCTGCTCCTCGTCTCAAGGATGGCTCCAGCCATCCCTCACCTCCCTCAGGAGCCCTCCTGACTGCTCCTGCCTCAGCACCCCCTGATCCCTCCAAGGAGGCTTCCCTAATTGTGCCAGTCACACTGACCACCGCAGCTCAGCCCCCTGAGTGTGCTGTGCTCCTCCCAGCACCATCCCCCAGTCATACCTCGACGGGCACTGGGCCACCCCAGGCGAGACTGAGAGTCTCAGGTCTCCCCAAGGCGAGGGCTCCCTGGGGGTTGCCAGGCCCCCCGCTCATGCCCCTCACACTGCCGCAGTCCCAGTCCCGAGCCCTCCGGACCCACCTCTTCTTTGTGGGGGTGATCTCCGCCGCCCTCTTCTCAGGCAGGACAGCAGGGTTCCCACTGGGGGCGGCAACTCTCTTGCCCATGAGAGGCACCGTCTCCTTGGGGTGGGCATTCATGGCTGGAATACAACAACAGGGCAGATGCTCAGGCCGAGGGGACGGGGGGAGCTTCAGGGAATTTAGGATCGCCGTGTGGCTGTATCCAGCTCCCGTTCACACTCCCTGGGACAGGAAGCTCACTCCTCCCTTCCCAGGTCACCAACCCTTCTTCAAGGACAGAGAAGCTGTCCCCAAAGCTTCCCCAGCTCCCTGCTCTAGCACCCCTGATGCTATGGTCCTAGGAGAGCCCAGGAAGGTGTCCCAGTAGAGACCACCATGCCCCGATCCTCTCTCACGACACCATCTCAGCCGGCCAGTCCCCAGGCGGACTCCTGGGCACCAGCTCTGTTTTCTCGAGGCCCCTCTCCGATTTCGTGATGAGCAGCTCTCAAACAGTTCTGACCTCCTCAGAGCAAGATTATCACCTCCTTTGCTCTAGACGTTATGCTCCTAGTAACACAGCCTCACGCTCCTCGGGTGTTTTGGATTCCTCAGTGTCCAGGTGGTCTTGGCAGCCAACACACCCATCATCTCCCCCGCCCTCCCAAAGCTGCATGTAACCAGCTTATGGCTGCCGTCCATTAGACTCCCCTCCCACCTGCAGGGAGCAGCTGAGTCCCCTTACCCCAGGCGGAGGAGGCCGAACCCCTGTCCAGACCTGCTTTACTGATGCTCAGAGTGGGCTGGGCACGGTGCTGAGCCCCAAGGGGTGTGAGGATTGGGGAAGGGCGACTGATATATCTTCCAACAAGGGTTCCCAGGACGGACTGTACAGGCTGCTGTGTGGAGGAAGGACAAGCCGGGCAGAGGGCACGGCCTGGGAGGGTCAGGAGTGGTAGGAGTGGCGGGAGCTGCTGTGGCCAGAGAATTTGGGGAGCTCACGGGGACCCTGGCAATGAAAGCTGTGTGGGCAGGCTGGGCCCTGTGAAGTCCTTGCACACCGCATAAGAGCTGTGGCTTTAGCTGGGCACGGTGGCTCACACCTCTAACCCCAGCACTTGGGGAGGCCAAGGTGGGCAGATTGCCTGAGCTTAGGAGCTCAAGACGAACCTGGGCAACATGGTGAAACTCTGTCTCTACTAAAACACAAAAAATTAGCCGGGCATGGTGGTGCACACCTGTAGGCCCAGATACTCAGGAGGCTGAGGCAGGAGAATCGCTTGAACCCAGGAGGTGGAGGTTGGGCTGAGGCAGGAGAATCACTTGAACCCAGGAGGCGGAGGTTGCAGTGAGCCGAGATTGTGCCACTGCACTCCAGCCTGGGCAACAGAGCGAGACTCCGTCTCAAAAAAATGAATAAAAAATACATAAAGTTTTTATTAAACATAAAGAGCTACGGCTGACCCCCGGGGGCAGCTGGGAGTTGGGTGCTGCGTTGCGGGGTGGGGGAGACCAGAAGCCAGGGGCCAGGACGAGGCTGCTGCAGGGGCCACAGGGACGGGGAAGGGGGCCAGCTGGTCACAGAGGGAGGACTTGGGCTGGGAAAGGGTTGTGTGGACAGGTGGTGACTGTGCAGTCAGGGGGTGCCACTCTCAGCTTGAGTCACCCTCAGGGGACTCACCCAGAGACACATAGGTGGGGGCAGGAAGATGGATTCCTGTAAGAAGAACCCAGTTGGGTGGGGTGGAGCTGGGGCCACTGGTGGTCCCACCCCAATGGGAAAGCTTCCTGGAGGAAGTTTCCGGAACCAGATGTCATCAGGCTGGAGAGAGTCCCCCGCCCTCCAATTCAAACGGAGCAGGCTCAGGATCGGGGAGGCATCGGCGAGGGAGAGCTTTGGCCCCAGAGCGCAGGCACCTTGAGGCCAGGCAGGTGGAGCAGCCCACCGAGACGGACTGCTGGGCTCCCGGCCTTCCCATGTCCAGTCACGGCCTGACGAGGACGGGCAGCCTTTGTGGCTTTCCCCATCCACACGTGGCCTTTGGTGAACTAAAAGGCTGGGAGGCACCGAGTGTGAAGGAGACAGATGAAGGGCGCGTCTCACCCCTCCCAGGGCCTCTGTTTTCCTTTCTGAGAAGTGGGCTGAGTGGTCCCCAAGGACTCTGTGGCCCTGAGAGCTGGTTGCTCTCTGCCTTCCCTGGGCCTGAGAATGTGGCCTGCCGGGGGCCTCTGGGGCAGGAGAGGCTCAGGGAGCTCCAGACTCGGGCCGCAGCAGCTATCATCAGCTCCCTGAGTCACCCCATAAACCCCACGTTCTCACCTGTTGGACTCTGGTTGCCCTGGCCCTCCCTCTCTCTCCCAATCCCTGACACTGATTGAAATGGTCTTTCCTGGGCGACAGCTGCTGACTCAGCACCTGTGAGATGCCTGGGCCCCATCTCTCTCGCGGTGGGGCCACCGCCTCCCATCCTGAACTCCCATCACACTCCTGCCCCAGAAAGCCACCTCCCTGGGCCAGCCTGGGGAGGCAGGAGCCTCTCCTCTGCCCCTCAGCCGTGGTGAGATTGAGATGTCCCTCCCCAGGATTCCCAAACCTCAGGGAAATGTTCCTGAGTCTGTAAGGACCTGTATTCTCACACGTCCCTACAGCCAAGAGCGCACCGCCTTGCTTTCCTCCCTGGGGCCCAAGCTCCTTCCAACCCTCCTCCCAAGGCCTATTGGCCAAGGGCAGACATGGCCCAGAGGACCTCTGAGGGCCACGCTCCGGGCTCCCCAGGGACCTTGGAGATGACCAGCTGCCTTGTGCAGGGAAGACTCACCTGGTGAGGTTCTGGGTGGTCGTGGCAACCCTTGCTCTGAGATCACCGCATGTCTGGGGCCCAAGGCCCCTGGGTGGGACTGTGGCTGAGGCGGTGGAAAGCTCTCATTGCAGGCAGAGGGATGGCTGGAATGAGGCATCAGAGGCAGAACTGGCTCGGCCACCTGCCCTCGGCGCCAGGCAGGCCACGCCCACCAGCCACAGCTGCATTGCCCGCCCGCCCGCCCACGTGGCCCGTGTGAGTCACCCCCACACCCACACAGCAGCCTCACCCCCACCGGGGAAAGGGCAGGGGAGGCTGCAGGTGCCAAGGTCGAAGTTGTGGGTCCAACTCCTCCCTCTCTGGCATTCCATGCTGGGCAGGGACTTCCCATCTCAGGCCTCAGTTTTCCCAACTAGGAAACGGGAATCTTAACACCTACTTTCCAAGGCTGCCGTGAAGAGCCAAAGAGATCACAGAGGCGGGAGGGCTTAGTGAAGGGTCAGGTGCTCTGCTCTGTCCCCCCGGGGGGGAACACCACAGCCCAGGCCTGGCCTGGTTGACCTCACCGCTGCCAGCCCCAAGACTTGGCACTTCTTCTCAAAAGTCGGTTCCTGGGATCAGGTCTCTCGGGGACAGAATTCCCCATTTAATACTTTCCACCAACAGTCACGCATCATGGCCCTTAGGGCCAGCCTCACCCCTTCCCGGCTGAATGAGCCTAGCAGGTCATTTCTCCGAGCCTCAGTCTCCTCATCTGTGAAACGTGCTTCATAAACCCACTTTGCAAGGTTATCATGAGGCTTCAACAAGTGCCAGTAGAAAGGGCCAGAACAAGGCCCAGGGCACGGCAGGCACTCAATAAACAATGTCAGCTCTTAGCTGTGATTGCTTTTGTCATCTCCATGTATTCTCCCAGCGACTGCCCGGGCTGCCTTTCTCCAAGGCCAGGGCATCGCGGGAGGAATCGCTGCCCTCTCGCCTGGCCCAGGCTACCACTGTGAAGCAGGAGGAGCGAGGTCAGGACAGCCCTGTGTGCCTCACGTCACTCAGGAACTGCACACCTGCTCCTCGGGGCGAGATGCGGACAAGACACGGCTGGGACAGAGCAGGAAGTCTCTGCTGATGAGGCCGGAGCTGGCGTGTGATGGGCAGGGAAATCCCCAGCTGTGAGCCTCTCAATTCCTCATCATCACAACCTGCCTGGCCTGGGGAGCAGGCAGGAGGCAAGTGAGGCTTCCAGGCCATGGGAGAGCAGGACCCGTGGCCGGTAAGGGGCAGACCAGACTTGCAGGTGTGGGTGAAGCGGGAGACCAGTTCCGCCGTTGAAGTCAGGGGGTCCTGAAGTTCCCACTCACAATCTGAAATCTCATGACTGTGCCTGAAACTCCACCAGTAAAGCCCGACCTGGGGTTGAGCACAGCCTCCCGCCACTTGCTCACTCGCCGTCTCCCAACCCAGCCCCACGCCCTCCCGGCTTGCCTCAGACGCCAGGGGAGGAGGCTGCTGCCAAATGTCAGTGCTTCCGTGTCGCTTGTGTTCGTACCTTTTCTCAGCGGGCAGGTGGGAGCTGGTGAAAAAGGAACCTGTCTCCCACCCAGAGGTGTGCCCTGTGCCCAGCAAGGAGGAAGGGACCCCCACTCTGCTATGAGAGGCAGCAGGAGCCAGGTCACCCAGTGGAGTCGCAGTCACTACTTAGGAAGCCTGAGCCCATCCCAATTCCGCCCCAAACACACAGAAGCAGCGGCTTCGGCCCCTTAGGTGGTCTGTGTTCAACCCCATTTAACCCAGCACCTCGTGAGAGCCCAGGGGAGAGGCCGTGGCAGGGACGCAGGTGGACGATGAGGGATTCAGAACTGGAGAAGGCCGTGTCCACCCTCGAGGAACTGGTGTGGGCCACAGGGACACAGGCTCAGGCAGGAACCATGACCCACCAGGCGGGGCATCAGGACAAAATGGGCTGAGACCCCCAAGGCGGGAGGAAGTCCCTCTGACAGGGTGTAGGGGATGGGTTCGGGAAAGAGGGCGCATCTGCCTGGATTTGGAAGGAGGGAGGAAGCCACAAGAGAAAGCCACACCCACAGAGGCTCAGAGGCCAGGACCACGGCATACTCAAGGAGCGGTGAGAGGCTCGGGCGACACACAGACCCAGAGGGCTCAGCAGAGACGGGGCCACAAAGCCAGGCTGCAGCCCACTGAGTGACTCCAGGCCGCTGGGGCAGCCCTGACTCCTTAGTCCCACAGGGCTGTTGGCCCAGCCTCAGAGGGCTCATGGCCCGTGGCCTGGTGTGGATGCTGTCACCAATATGACGGAAAGGAACGGATTCACTGGGCTGAGCCAGCACCCCACACCACGGCCATGCCCCTGCCTGTCTAGCCCCGGCTGAGCCTTGCCAGGGTTCAGGCCCCTGGGGGGGTTTCTGTCCTGTGTTTGGGGCCCACACAGCAGTCACAGGAGTGTGCAGCCGTGAGTCTCACGCTGCAGGTGCCCAACTAGCACGGCCCGCCCCGTCTTGGCCAGCTCACAGCAACCTTTAGTGCCCATTGCCAGCCACCCCCATGCCTGGGAGTCTGGAAGGATGAAGGAGCTGCCCCCCCCCCACAGTGTCCGACTCCTCACTCTTGGTGGCAGCCATAAGCCACGCTGTGCCCACCTTTCATTGTGATCGCAGGTCCTTCTCTGGCAGTGGATGGAACACACAGAGCCTGGAGAGGCGACAGTCCCGAGAAGGAAACTTCCCAATTGGCACAACCAGGGGCGATGGGGCCGGGGCTTGGGGTGGGAGGCAGGCGGGGAGAGGGAGAGGGCAGCCTCCGGATATTCCTGCCCCAACTCCGCTCCCCCGAGGTCTGATTTTCAGACAGCCCCGAGGTGCCCATGGGTGCCCAGCCTGCCAGACTGAGCTCAGAGTGGAAGCCTTAGCCAGCAGCGTCCATCCGCATGATGCAGGGGCCGTCCTCTGCCTCTGTAAAGCACCCCACAGAGGGCACACGAGGCGTCATTGAACAGGCTCCCTCTGCCTCCCAAAACTCCCAAGCCCTGCAGACACGAAGCCCAAGCAGCAAGCCCACAAGTTCCACCCACACAGAGGGAGAAGGAAAAGGGGGTCTCTGTAGGGCGGGGGCAAGCAAGGAGGGGCCGGCCCCCTCACACACTCTAGGAAATGCCCTTTTGGTGCAGTGAGGAAGGAGAGAGGGAGCCAGGTAGACCTCCAACACCAGCCTCACGCCTGAGCAGGCTGACCCGGACAAGGGCCGGGAGAGGGTCCTGGCGGCCACCACTCTTCTTCAGCCAGGAGAGCTCAGCAGCTGCCCACAGTGGATTCTGGGTTGTGGCTCGTCCTGCTTCCCGGTGACGGCGGGAAGGACACGAAGACAGAGATAGCAGTAGACTTGACAGTTGCCAAGAGAGTTTTAAGTGTTCTCATCACACCGAAGCATGAGGTGCTGTATATGTGAGACAGCTCGATTTGGCCATTCCACACTGTATTCATATATCAAAACATCATGTCGTATGTTGTGAATACATACAATTTCATTTGTCCATTAAAAATCAACTTTGAAAAGCGTAAATATGTAAATCAATAGCATGATGTAAAACATTTTTTTTTGTTTCATTCCTGTTTTTACCATTTTGTTTTATGAGAGCATTAGCAAAGAAAAAGAACAAAGGCTGGGTGCAGTGGCTCACGCCTGTAATCCCAGGACTTTGGGAGGCTGAATCCTCAGGTGGATCACCCGAGGCTAGGAGTTCAAGACCAGCCTGGCCAACATGGTGAAACCCCATCTCTATTAAAAATACAAAATTAGCCGGGTGTGGTGCTGCACACTTGTAGTCCCAGCTATTCGGGAGGCTGAGGCAGGAGAATTGCTTGAACCCAGGAGGCAGAGGTTG